TTTTTTTGTTTGGTCCAGACCGACCAAATGAATATAATATCTGTCACAGGCTATAGTCTCAATCAAAATTGTTGATAAAATAGGGAAATGGTTATGCAGGTTTATTTGGAGAGATGAAAAAAGTTGACTTTACAATTCAAAGGATTAATGATGAGTGATCTAAGTATTACATTTTACCCTTTGATGCAAATACAGCAGAGATTTATTAACAAAATACAAAATAAAAATCATTTTGCCATAGTCATGTGGGAGTCAATGCTTAGTCGGTAGTAGCAGAAAGATAACTACATGTGACTTGGGTTGTGCTAGCTGCACTGAAATCTAAATGATTCTTAGAGTTGTAAATATTACCCCAGTACATGCTTTTACTTCAAAAGCAGCTATATAATTTAGAAAATAGAAAATCAAAGCTATAGAAAATCAAACATCTGTGTTCTATTCAAAGCCTTATTATGTGCAAGAAAACTAATATTGCACTATGTGATCTCATTCCTGCACATGAAAGAGTCAAGCATTTGGAAAGCAAACATATTCTAATTGAACAAATCAAAGTCAAATTGGAAACAAGCACGCTATTTCTACTAACAATAATTGTACTACTAGGCTATATTTAAACAGTGCAATACACTATGCTCAGGAAATGAATAAATTTTGAGAAAAATAGCTTTTTTTTTGTTCAGTTTGGCTCTATTTGAACAGTTATGCATACAAATTGCATTGGGGACAAAATGCAATCTACACTGCAGACGTGAGTAGTGTAAATGAAATCATGCTGTCACATAGCCTTTTTGCTAAAATGCTTTCGCTTCAAATTCCAAATTCGCCCTATTGAGCATATATGCTCGTACATTTTAAAGCCTGTTTGAGCCAAACTTAACTATTGAGAAATTCTGATTGTATATACCAGGTAATAGACACTGGAAACTCACTGATTTAAAAGACAATCCACTGAAGTTTGACTTTCTTTCAATGTCATTGAGCAAAATTTCTAGATATGAAGTCTTTTTACAAGTCTGAATCGATGAACAATTGTTAGCAAATACAGAATACAAGACCTTTTATAATATATAGATGTATCATTTTCGAATTTAAAAAAAAATGGTGGAAATTTTTTTTTATTCTTGTCCGTGCAAATTCATAACTAATATATCACCTAATTGTGTTCGTACCAATCCCCTAAAAACCAGCAGATTTAAATAATTTTGCTGGTTTTTCTGGTTTTTAAATCTGCAGAGCTCAAACTTGCCATGATGGCAATTGCTTCAATGCCCAATCTGACTACATGTGTACCTTGGCACAGGGGAAAAAATTATGAAATTTTGTAACAGAGAATATTGTACTTGCCAGGGTTCTAAGACCCTTACATCATGACATCTTTCACAAAAATTCACCCTTAAATCACCAAATCGAAAAAATATATGTAGCAACAAAGACTTAAAGGTTGTAACTTACAACTTTCTTCTTCACTTGAAGACATGAGTGCAGAAGTGTGAATAAAACAACAAGTACTAAATAGTTCCTGCAGTAGAAGTAGCCAAGTGAATTTACAACAAAACCTTAAGAGTTTATATACTGACAATTATCCTTCTTCAGGATATCCGTATATGCAAAGTACCCAAGTGTCACAAAATGCTGGAAAATAGGAAATTACATTCTGAATGTAGCCACAAACAGGAAACTAAATAGCATTATGCTAGGAAAAATTACCTGTCAAGTCTACTAAGTCATATTTTAATGGGTTACCATGAAAACATGCAGGATGTAAAATATAGTTGTGTTCAGTTGTTTCTATGTCAATGCATGCATATCATAACAGATTGTAGTCAATGAATATCCTGAAATTTGTTATTAATTGATTACTTTTATTGCATATCGCAATGTGTGTGAATATGTAATGAGATGTGTGTCATAAAATATTACTATACACAGATTTTATTACAAATCATTACATGTATTTGGCATACTTCTGACATGAAGGATGTGCTGCATGATGGATTTATACGAGGAGACCTTTCTAACTGGTAACAAAATGGTAAGGAGATGATGTACTTAATATTTTTACTAACAAGCACAAATTTCATAGCTTCACAATTATTCAACCAGCACCATCAATCTGACAACTTCTTTATTTACATGTTTTGTATGTTTTTGTTTTTTTTAGCAAAAC